CAAAACTCATCCAAAATCAAGAAACGACCTGGTCCCTGAGCACCACACACAGACCACCCAAAGATTCCTTCCTGTTTCATAAGAGAACATGAACAACCACCTCACTGTACCTTATACCAACACCAAAGAAATGGACAAATCCCTTTTCACATTATCAATAAATGCTGACACACCAGAATGTTCTGGCATAATCTGATATAAATGAGAATGTAAATATCTCCCCAGTTCATTAGCAACCACAGGTGTTTGCATATCTGCAGATGTGGGGATCATAAAACACAAAGTCTTCTGTATCTGCTAAATATACCCTGTTTCAGCATTCAGGGACATACATGAAAACCAAACATTAAACAAGTGGAAAAGATGTAAGGCAAACCACCAAGGCCTATAAGGCATGAAAGATCAGTTTGGTGATATACTATGAGATTAAGTACTAAATCATACCTATTTTACCTGTTATAAATATGCATCTCTCGCTATGAGGGTGGTTAAGAACTGGAACAAGCTACCTAGAGAGGATGTGGTATCTCCATCCCTGGAATTTTTTAAAGCAGGTTAGACAGACATTTGGCTGGGATGGTTTAGTCAGAAATGATTCTGCCTTTAACAGGGAGCTGGATTAGATGACACTGAGGTCTCTTCCAGCCCTTTGGCCCTATAAATATACTCTAGCCTTTATGAATTTAATAGGTGAATGCTTGGAAATATATATCATGTAAGCCTTGATAACTCTTTTTATATGAAACCCTAATCAAAATCTTTGTATGAGCATTCCTACATGAGAAAATTAGTGTGGAGTAAGCCATGGTATGAAGAAGAGGAGGAGCCATTGTGCTCTAAATTTGCACCCCAGCTTAGTGTGCACTTTCTTGTGCAGAAAAGCCTTGAGATTGCAAGCCATTATGTTCCAGTGCAGTTATGCAAGATTTGATATCCTGGCATAAGCCCAAAGCAACCCCACAGATTTCAGTGGAACTGCATCAGAGTAAGCTACAGCAGAATTTGTTTCTGACATTACATGCTCATGAGAAAAGGTGACAGAGGATGGATTGGAAACATTTGTTTGGTTGGGGATCGGTGTTGTTCATTTATATATATTTTTAAAAAGCTCACTGTCTTTCATGGCACTTGAAGTTAGCAATAGGCATTTTCAATCCAATCTTTGATCTAAGTGGCATGGAGTTTATGTCCCGAAATTCTGTTTAATTTAAAATAAAATATTTCTAAAGGCTGATCTGTGACAGCAAACCAAATGAGTTAAATATTTTGACATCGAGCTACAATGGGTATGCCTATATTTATAGATAGATGCATGTTTAAGATCATTTTCTAGTGCTAAATGTGCTTCCAGATCCATCTTCTCTCTGCCTACATCACATATTGTTCACTAAAGCCATCTACATTGCACATACCATGCCCTAAGCCTTGCTGCAAAATGTATTCCGTGCTCCTTTGCACCATGGCAAGCATAGCCTTTCCAGGTATCAGTCCATGAATCACCTGACTTTCTTCATTGGCCCTGAAGCTAGAAATCATTGAGGCATCAACCTGTGTGGGCTGGAAATCACCGCTGTTGCCAAACATGTTGTTCAGTTTGCTCATATCTTGGACCACCAGTGTAGAGAGAGATGCTGGAGAGTCTTCTGGAATTGAAGTTTGCAATCAAGGAAATGGGGCAAGGGAATGGGGCATAAAGTTAGGGATTTGGCAAGGCCTAGAATTGGTGATGACAGTAGTGGATTCTGCACCAGTCACTGGGGCTTTGTATGTGCACAAAGATCCTGCCACTTTCTAAACCAGGGCTTCCCAACCTTTTCCTCAGCATGACCCCATTTAAACACTGGATTTTTTTGTGACCCCAAAATGATGCAGACAAGATCAACAGGTTATAAAAAGAGGGCATTACAATGTTTATGGTCTTTAGATTTTTCATTTCAAACATTTAATTTCATTTTTACTTTTTTTTTTAGATTAAAAAAAAATATTGAATACAAAGTCTAAAAAAGCTGTTAAATGCATTTATTTGACATGCATTTTAATTGTTCTAACTGTGGATTATATCTACTGTGCTGCCATGTTGTTAAACAACCCTAGATATCACGGTTGCTAAATTGAGACTTAAAACGCATATAATATACAGAAATTCTACAGGAAACTAGACTGCCACTACTGTTCACTGTTGATGTTGCTATGCTTGCTCAATACAACATCCTTCTAAACTCCCATTAAAAATGTACAAAAAACTCCTGTAATGTACAAGTGCCTTGCATCAGAGCTGCAACTGTTATGTGTGGATGAATAACTGCCATGTGAGAGGGTTGTATATTTATAAACAGGAAGTATATTCATCATAATTGGTCAACACTGTCGAGTGTCTTTGCAACCCCATTTTTTTCCCCAAGGTTTGGAACCACTGCTCTAAACATAGCCATTGCTCCCACACTCTCCCCCAGTCCTCACATATCTTAGACATTTCATCTCAAGGGCCACATGGGTCCATTTCTCCCACCCCCCGTCTTTCTTCATGTCACTTGTCTCAAACCTCCTATCCCTCTCACAAAGGGTGCACTTAGTCCTGCTTCTTTCCTGGCAAAACTAGATCTGTTCATCTCTAGCATATTGAGAGGCTGTTCTGACCTGAGACTGAGGAACCATGAAGTCTGCAGATAAGAAAGAAAATGTTCTGTAACCATTGGGCCATGCAGATATTACCTGTATTGGGTCACACAGATTAAAATAGCTATATCCACTCACCAGAACTCTAGGCAAGGGTTATTGTGTGATATCTTTTATTACATTAACTGGGTAACTGTGAGAGGTGCTGGACAAGTTTTTGGACACAAAGTATTAGAACTCAACATTTAGACTGACTGGGATGTTTGAGGGCTCAGTGGTGCTTTTAAGGTGGAATCCATAATGCTGATCAGAACTGATAGATAGAAATTTGAGCAAAGGGTATTTTTTCTGTCTTTTTTTTTTTATTGGCTCTGCCATCTGGAGTTAGGGGTCTGTCATGGACCTTCCTGTCATGGACCCTCCCCCTTCTTCCCCCCTTTCCTCCCCCCTTTCAGGAGAGCTCTATAGTGGGGCTCCCTAAAAAGCCTTGTTCAGTCTCTTTCCTGTAGCACCCTCCTTCAGCCAGCCCTGGCCTGGCTTCTAGAGGGGCGAGCCTCTGGCTTCAAGACCCTGGCTCTTTCTCAAGGTAGGTGTGTGCCAGAGTGCTGATGTCCTAAACAGCACAGCAGACCACTCTGCTTCAATTTTACTGGGCCAATGCAGTTCCTGCCAGCACAGGGCTAAACAGCCTCTGAACACACTAACTTCACCTTGGCCGTTCCCTTGTATTCCCCTGTTCTCCCCAGGATTCTGCTTTTTCTCCCTCTACCTCCCTCAGAGACTCCTTTTCTTCTGCTCAGGCAGTGTTCCACCTTAGTAAGTGTAACAAAACTATATGGAAGACTAAAATCATCCAATAAAATGAAACGTAATATCTGGAAGCATTCAGAAAGTAGTCTTTAGTACCTGCTGCAAGGCCCAGACTGGTATCTTCCCCGCAGGTGGAAAGGGCATCTAGATGTCCTACTATAAAACTGTCTATAACAAAAAAATGTTCACACTAAGTCCTCCAAACTGTTCCCCAGCAAAACTCAGAACTTCCCCCCAGAACTTAGCCTCATCGCAGGGTCATGTGGATTTGCAGTTCCCTTGTGCAAGCACAGAGAGAGCATGGACACTTCTATACTTCTTTAGCATACTTCTATTCTCTCCTGTGAGAATGGCACAAGTGCCTACCACCCCGTCTTGAGCACATAAAGAGAGCAGAGAGAAAGTAATTGTTGCTGGATGATGTGATCTGTGTAAAGGAAGATAATGGCTCTTTGAAAACCTTCCTCTGGATCACGTATGTTACAGGTAACCAATACCTGGTCATAAATTCTAAATTTTTTTAAACAAGCTAAAGGCATCAATGGAGCCAACAGGATAGACACAAGGGCCACATCCAGATGAGTGTGAATGTTTGGCTCCCTGGGAACAACTAGCAGTGACACACCTTGTGCCACTGCTAGTTGTCCCTGGAGAGCACCCATGCCACATGCCCTCTGGTGCACGGCAGGTTACCCCAGGTGGATTAGGGCTGAGGCTAGCCTTACTTGGAGTCCTGGGGGCTGGGGAAGTTGTAGCCGTGTCACTTTTGTAGCTGGGAGCCTGGCTGGCAGCCAAAGTGTGGCTCTGGCTGGCCAGGCTCTGGTTTTGGGCAGCACATGCTGCCTCCATGTGTGCCGCCCCACTTTTTTTCTGCATGAGTTTTTTTGACTCCAGGATCTCCTGGGGTCAAACCCGTCCCCACCCCCAACCCTAATGCTGCTAAGTAGCACTGTGGGAAATGCCTGAATGTGTGGCGTGTGGTGCTGCAGATGGGTCTGCAGTGCCACATACTGCATGGCCACACTCTCTGGTGGTGGCCATGGAGTCTCTAGGTCTATTTTTTTGAGGTACAAAAAAACCAAAAAAAAATATTGGAAACTTCTCAGGAATAAATAAATAAAAATCCTTTCAAGCATTAAAAACTCATATTTTTCAGAGCACGTTGCCTGAATTGTCTTAAACTTTCAACAACAGAAATCTATCCTGCAATTGCCACCCCCCAACACACAGAGACTATTTTAGTGAGGCTTCTGAGGGAAGAATCAAAACTAAGTTCATAATCAGACCTGGACTAGAACTTTGAAGAATTTAGCATTTTTCCAAAATACAGACTCTACATCATGACAGGTTTGTTTCTTCCATTGTTTCTTTTTTTCAAGCAGCTGAAACAACTTATTCTCTCAATGTTGAGCTGTGGAATGTTTGTAATAAGGCTATTAGTTTTTCTGTTGTTTTTCTTTAGGAATCGTGTTAAGCGATCCATAAAGTAATCTGGAAATGCCATGAGACTGAGATGAATGTGCAAAGGCTGCCAGGACCGGATAGCTCCTGGCCCAAATGAAAGCCTTTGTGTTGGAACTGGGATGCAAGGTTTAAGGGCCTCTAGCCAGACCTCTGATCTCTCCAGATGATCACAGGATATAAACTGCAGCCGAGAGGCAAGCTCTAGAGAAGCTTCAGAACTCTCCAAAAGAAGCTCTGGGACTGTGAAAAATATATCATCCAAAAAAGGGGATGAGGAAATTTTTGGTGTTACTAATCCTGACCCTGACCTTGGTAGCCCTTTGCTGTTGTGAGAGAGGTAAGGGGATATTACATTTATTTTGCCTGGAATATTATCTGGGTGTCTTACTGAACACTTAGATTCTGAGAGGGATCTCTGATTAAGCGAAATCCAGTTTTGGGGATTGTCAGTGTACAGCTGACTATCAGCAGGTTCTCAATCCCAGCCATGTAGGTTGCACCTGACAATGGATTTGAAGCTCCCCAGCCTGATCCCTAATGAATATTTGGCTCTGCTAGGATAACAACTATTGCACCATTGGACAAGGGAGGAAGCCTCAGCATCTGGTTTATGATTTAGATAAATTCTAGATTTGGATGAGGGATCTGACCTGTAGGTCATGACTCATGTGAATCAGCAGAACTGCTGAGACTATGGGGGAGGGTGTATTACCTCTTCTAGTACTGGAAAGCTATATTGTATCTAGCTTGAGAACAAAAAAACAGAGACCTACTTTTTAATTCTATTGAAATATGTTAGACTGGGAGAATGTTTGCGGGGAGAAAGTTACATTGTTAAAAATAAGTTGTCCCTTTTAAACAAGAACAGTTAACATTTAGAGCTGAAATAGCCTCAGTGCTTTTAATCAGGAGTGAGTGCATTACCAAAAATGTATGGGGAAAAACAGATTCTGAAACAGCAGATGCTGAAAACTTGCTGAGATGGGGAAGTGAGCAGGGCTGAGATGAAAAGGGCCCTGCTATTGTCTGTATTGCATCAGTTCTTGTCAGCCTTACATGCCCCCTTTCACTGGCATCAGCTCTGCGACATTTTAAAGATTTACAGTGTGTGTGTATCTATTCATACAGATCTTATATGTACATAAGATTTTCAGTATATGTATACATACATACATATATATGTATGTGTGTGTGTGTATATATGTGTGTGTGTGTGTATATATATATATATATATATATACACACATACATACATTCATTGCAAAGCTTATGTATATATAAACTTTACGAGTGTGTGTATATACACACACATACATTGCAAATCTTAAAATATATATTTATTTAACAGATATCTCACCTGATCTTATACTTGGTCATTTCTGCTTTTTAGCTATTGTGTACCATGATGTTCAAAATTTTTGGTTTAATTTTCTGTCAGTTTTCAGGTGCTGTGAAAAATGCTGGTTGCTTTAGCAAGTCTCCCTAGAGATATTCAAAGGGCTTCATCCCAGTAAGAGTTTGCATACTGACCTCTGACATGCCATCAAAAACTGTTGCCTTCTAGAATATATTTATATGAAATACCAGTACTTTGGCAAAAGCTAACACTTGAACTCTTTTGAGGATGAAAAAGCAATAGACTAAGCACTCTCTATTCCCTTCCATCAGTGACCTTCTCAAAGGAGGAAATGAAAGGGGAAGCAAGTCAGTCACTGCTTGCTCCTTTTCCTTACTATTATCTCTCAATAGAATCTGATTGTCCCATTTGCTTGTCGTGGTTATTCAGGATCTATCAATTCCTAGGTTCCAGGCTCATCTTTGCCATTGACCCTCTACAATCCTAAGCAGTCATTTAAACTCTCTGTACTTTAGCTTTTTCACTGTAATACAGGGGGTTAAAGCAATTATCTTACTCACGAGGATTAACAAATTTGTATGTGAGAAGAACTTCAAGATCCTCCAGCAACAAACACTTATAAGCTGTTACAATGTTCAGAATTGCTGTTCTGCTGGATTTATTGTTGCTAGGGGGTGGAAGATGTGCTGCATGTTGGTGTTCAGAACTCTAAAGGGCAAGAATTTCAATGGGGCAGCACTATCGGGGTGCAAATGCACTCCTGGGGAGTACTGGGCCAGGGTGATAGTGAAGAGGCTTCTGAGGAACTCACTTTAAAGTGAGGGACCTAGTTCAGTTGGGAGGATGTTCCAGGTCAACTTCCCCCTGCTGGTTCTGGGAGTGGGTCAACTGCCTGGGTCAGAAGAGGAGCTAGGGCTCTTTGAGGGCGAAGGTCAAAAATTCTTCCTAGGGGTCTTCAGAGATCATCACGGGTCAGAGCTGACTGACCTTAGCACACAAATTAGCATGCATCAAAGCAGATTCAATTAATTCAGTTTGCTGGACCATGCTAATTAGTGTGCTCCAGCAGCCTCTGCATCCTGTGTAAATGGTGGGAGGGGTGCTTTAACTAAAGCTCACTGAATGAGCCCCTGCCACCATTTTGAAGCATGGGATATTGAATACAGGGGATGCTGTGCCTGCTTTAATTAGAGCAGCTCTCAGAGCCACTTTAGTTAAAGTGCCTGCCCTCTCCACTCTGGAGCACATGTATAGATAGATGCCCTGGATGACTAGAAGGCCATTTGTGTAATGTGATCACAGGTCCTACCTTCTCCTCAGTTCTGGTCTGTGAAGCTGCAAAAGGCAAGGGTGACTCTACATATTTTTGGTTCTGTTTGGTTTTCACAGTCCTTGTCAATAGTTCACAGTTCCCTAATGATCAAAGAAACACAACTTCCACTGTATGGGGAGAAGAGATCAAGGCCCTAAACTACACAGTTAACTTAACATGCTCAGCAACCATGCCTTGGAGCATGCCTCACTGCTCTGGGTCAGCTGACTCCAAAACAGGAAATAGTGTGGCTATCTCCATGCATGGCTGGGTGGTGATGGAAATTACGCCAGCCCCAAGTTAAGTAGTCGGTTTGCTTCCTGTGTAGGAGGCAGCCCATGCAGAAAAAGATCAGTGTGCTTGAGAAAGACCGCTGCCCAGCGCAGTAGATTTATCACATACAGTCACAGCCATCCATGGTGCTGTGCTTATGCTACGGATTTTTGCCCAAAAATGCCCCGCTGTTTCCATCCCTGCTAGAAACAGTTACAAACACCAGTGAGACTGATAGAGCAAATGTAGGGATTTTTTTGCCCCAAACTCCTACTGTAGATAAGACCTTGGGGGGAGGGGAGGAGTGGGTGGCAGGGGCAGAGAGACAAAATTTCCTAAAGTGGTTAATTGGGTTGTTTAAAAATGGAGGAAGATTTAGTAGTCATCTACTGTGGGCTTTTCAGGACTGGGATCTCAGGCATGGTGTCTAGGCAGTCTCTGCTTACTTGCTCTATTCTTTGTTTTCCAGATCTAGAACACTCCTTGGAATCACACAGTGTGGAAAGTGAGTCATTTGAGTAGTTTGCCACCACTGACCATTCTGTACTTTATTGCCGTGATCCCTGAATTTTTCATGTTTGGGGATTAGGGAATGAATAAGATTCTTGCTGAATCCTATATCGTTTCTTTCTCCTCCTTTGCTTGACTCTGGTCATACACAGCAGGTGTCATGAGGCTTCTCATCTTAGCTGAATGAATGCCTGTAGCAAACATATGGTCCAGACTTCTTGAGAGTTAGAACCATGGACTCTGCAATCATGAGGGAGCAGGCACCAGCGACATGAGCAGGAATTTTTCAGCTCTCAGATATCACAGGGCACAAGACAGGCCTTTTCAAGAATCACGTGGCCTTCAGAGGTACAGAAATGAGGGTGAGGGCAAGGTGAGGGAGTAGTAGAATGGATATCTACAAAGGATGTATCAAAGTGCTAGGGCAGGATTTTTGGATTAAACTAAAAGGAGTCAGAAACAAGCACAAAGACAAGTAAGTGAGTTCTGCTGGCTTGTCAGGGCAGGTGAAGATGGTTGCCTCCACCAGGATGTAAGGGGAGGTGGAGTGACAGAGCATGTGTCCACACTGCTGTACCGGGTAGTAGTGCCATCAAGCAGGCTACAGGAGGGCTACCCTCTTGAATCTGCAGTGCAGCTGTGATTTAGTAGCAATGGGTGAGCACTGATGAATGATAGCTAATTAGTCAGACAGCCCCAGAGATGCTGACAGTGCTATACTATTTCCAGTTCCAGAGGTAGTCCATGGAGAACAATGCAGCATATCTGAAGGCATTACTGCCTGGGAGTGGTAAGTCTGTGTTTAGACACGGCTAGAAAGAGCTGGGACTTGAAATAGGCATCAGGCAAAAACTTAAGAGCTTCTCAAATCTGGGACAAAGTTTTAGATCACTAATTCCAACTATCAAGAAAAGAGGGGTGGAGTGGGGTTGAACTATGCACTCGCTGTGCCTGCTCTGTTCAGAACAGGTGGGAACCAGAATTTGGGGCCTAACATATTTACATGATCCTCATCTATTCTGTGACCTGACTCACTACCAAAATCCATTTGGAAAATCTTCCAGAACTCTCTGGCTGCATCCAGATGAGCAAGCACATGCCTGTTATGGCACCTCAAAGTAGTTTGAGACACCACAAGAGGCACACTAAGAACAAAAAGATGTTCCCTGCACTTCATGCAGGAAAAAAAGTGGTGCAGGGTACGTTTCTGGAGCATGCCAAGAAGCAACCAGAGGCTGGGTCCTCCAAGGAGATGCTCTGACACCCGGCCAGAGCATCTCTATGGCTGCCCCGTGCCCCTGTGCTGACTCCTGCCTCAGCACAGTCCCCTGCCTAGCCCCCTGCATAGCATACAGCCCCCCCTGCATGGTGCACAGCCCCCCGCCCCCCCCAGCAGCAGCTGTTGGGGCACTCATGCCCACTCCTGGCAGAGACCTCTGGTGGCTGCACATGCCACAGGGCATGGGCCCTCAAACAGAACCAGGCTGGCTCTTGTCTCCCAAGGTCCCGGCACTGCATACAGAAGCTGTGCACCCTAGGGCTGGGCTGGGTCCTGACTCCATGGAGCTGGCCCGGCCCAACAGCATGTGGGATACATAGAGACAGGACCTGTGCAGGCCTGAGGGCGCATGGCTTCTGCGTGTGGTACTGGGATCCCAGGTGACAGCAAGAGCTGGCCTGTCTGCCTGAGAGCATGTACCAGCCGGCCAGGCCCACACCTTGTGGCATGTACAGCTGCTGGGTATGAGGCCATGTTGCACTGCTGGGGGTCTCTGCCAGAAGTGGGGATGAATGCCCTGATGGCTGCTGCTGCTGCTGGGGATGTGGGGGTGCTCTGTGCACTCTGTGTGTGTGTGTGTGTGGGGGGGACGTGGAAGGGACCCACCCCTCCTGAGCAGTTTCCCTGCCACACAGTCCCCCCACACCCACAAACTCCACCACAATACACCCACAAACCCCCAAATCCCACCCACAAACTCCCCACCCACATACCCACCCCCAAATCCCACACCCACAAACCCCATACCACCCACTCTGTGCACTCTGTGTGTGTGTGTGTGTGGGGGGGACGTGGAAGGGACCCACCCCTCCTGAGCAGTTTCCCTGCCACACAGTCCCCCCACACCCACAAACTCCACCACAATACACCCACAAACCCCCAAATCCCACCCACAAACTCCCCACCCACATACCCACCCCCAAATCCCACACCCACAAACCCCATACCACCCACACCCCCTGCATAAGCCCCACACCTCCCCCAC